CGAAGGAAGTTGTGGGTTGAAAATGAGGTGTATTGAGGGAGGTCTTTGAATGGTATAAGCTGTACCATTGTAGAATTGGTGAATTCGGGACAAGTCATTATCCTCGAAGTGTATGAAGTCTCTAAGGTTCATACCGGGAGCGAATTGCGTGTTTTGGAGGATAGACGTAAGTGGGCAGGGGTGTGGTACAAGGTTGCATTTTACCGTCACCTTATCCCATATCTTGAATGATGTGAGAATTGCTGGGGAGGTTGAGGGAAGAGGGGGTCTAGCTTGTTTTGGGAGCCAAATATATAAGGATGGGAAGTCCCTCCCGAAGATGGTGTGCTCTAAATCTACCCAGCGTTTAAAGCCGTATACGGCATGTAGATTCAGTTTGGGCTAGTTGTGCGGCGTGAAAGTATTGGGTGAAGTTAAGTAATCCAAGCCCTCCAGCTTTGTTCGGTATGTAAAGTGTGAGGCGTGTAATCCTGGCCCTTTTGTTGGCCCATATGAATCTATGTTAGTTTGTAGACTTTTGAAGTCAGATGTCGAGATGGGTATCGGGAGGGCTTGGAAGAGGTATAAGAACCTCAGTAAGAGCTTCATATTTATGGAGGACAAACGGCCTAGCCAAGAGATTGACATGTCTTTCCATTTCTCTAGATCCTGTGTCGAGCAGGGGCATATAGTTGTGGCTGTAGGTTTGTGTCAGGTCGGCGGGGAGTATGGTGCCTAGGTATTTAATGGTAGAGGCCTAGAAGTTAAACGGGTATTGTATTTGTAGAGCGTGGAGTGTTGGGTGGTCTATTTGTATTGGTAGGACCTCGAGTTTTGTCTATGTTTAGTTTGTAGCTGGAAACTGCAAGGTAGTTGTCTAGTGCGGTTATAAGGAGTGGGAGTTCTTTCTGCTACTTGTTGCCTCCCATGGTGGCAAATCGATAAGTGCTTGTTTGTCTGTACGTAGATGTATCAGTATTGGTTGGATGTGCAGTATTTTTCGCTGATGGAGGCAGATTGTATGCTCAGGGGAGAGGGAGCTCAGGACTTACGCGTCCATCTTCATCGGTGGTCAGGCTCCGCCCCTCAACTCATGATTATTCTTTAAAGGAACACTATAGGGTCAGGAACACAAACAATGATTCCTGACCCTAAGACAAACAATCTAGCCCCACTTGTCCTACATTTGCCCCCCTAAATACAGTATAATCTTACCATTATCCGAGTCTGCTGCTGGCTCTGCCCCTGATCTGCTTTCCTGGCATTATCAGAAGTGATGATCAAAAGCCAATCACAATGCTTTCCCATAGAAATGTTTGAGACTGACAAGGAGGCAGATCAGGGGCAGAGCCAGCACAAGTCAAACACAGCCGTGGCCAATCAGCATCTCCTTATTGAGATACATCTCTATGAATAAAGTTCAGTGTCTGCATGCAGAGGGTGGAAACACTGAATGGCAGTACTGCACCCTGTGCAGCACTGCCCCAGGAAGCACCTCTACTAGCCATCTGAGGAGTGTCCAGTGGAAGTATCCCTAAGCTGTAATGTAAACATTGCATTTTCTCTTAAAAGACAACGCGTTTACAGCAAAAAGCCTGAAGAGAATGATTCTACTCACCAGAACAAATACACTAAGCTGTAGTTGTCTGGCGATATAGTGTCCCTTTAAAATAAAATAGGAAATTAACAAAATGTTGTTTTGTTTTTTTAATTGGAATTCCTTTTCTATGTCCCTCTCTGTGCACCACTATTTCTCTTTCTTCATGCTCCCAAACATATGAAGAATAAGAATAAGAACCCCTATCATTGTAGATACTCTGCCTTCCTCTACATAAGATGGCTCAACTATCACCTCTCATTTTGTCTAGCCTTGTGGGGCTGTCTTCAAATCCGCTAATTTATGTTACTTCTAGCTGATACCAAGCCTTATTTGCCTTATCATACCCTCAGGACTCCTCGCTGTAGCTATCTCTACTGCCAAATTTAAGATGGCGCTTTGAGCCTGGAGTTTGTCATTTACACAGTGATCCAATAGTCCTAACAGCCTCCTCCAGGAAATAAATGCACAGTTTGAATCCCCCTGCATTGTGCATAAAGAGATTAATATAATTGTCTAAGCTCTACAAATGTGATCTTTTCTATTTGATTGTTATTGTCATTATACTGTATTTTTCTATTTCATTTTATTTTAATGAATTATTTGACAGTGCCGGTTGGCAGCGTATAGAGCAATGTGCTATTTTTTTCCCCATGAATGGAGATATTTTTTGCATTATGTAGGAATAACTACATATTATTTATGTAACCTTTCTTATTTTTTCAATCTGATTCAAATCAATTCTAAAATTCTTCATATTCTTTGATTTAAAGAGGTGCTATCACTTCTTCTGTTAAATGTATTTAGTTTGGTATTCCAGCTGATTTATATCAGCTAACAATGTGACTTTCCGCCTTAATTCATTGTCTAGTCCATACCCTATAAGCACCCATTAATTCAGAACATGGGTCAGTGTTTGAAATGAAAAGAGTTTTATTCTTTAGACATTGAAGTTCATGAGGAAAAATAAAATCAAGATTTGGGGAAGAAACATTACACATGGTCCGTGAAAATTCAGAATTAGTTTAACGGGTATTCTCACAGTCTAGATATGCACCGTCTTGTCTCCAGTAAAGAAGGATGGACCCTGCTGAGTTAACCTGATAAATGGCACATATGTGCAAGAAAATTAAATAAAAATAATTTAGGAAATATGAATCAAGATTTTTAATAAATCCACAAAGAAAAGCACCCCATTAAAACAGAACCTGTCTCATTCCCACACTTTATATGCTACATTCCGATAATGTGTTTTGTTGACCACACAGAAAGAAAAAAATCTGTATTTCACTGCCAGCGGTTTTGTCTGTTTAACGCCGTTACTCCTTGATTTATAATTTTCTCTTTTGCTCCTGCCTCGAATTTTCCTCAAATATTTTTATTTCTCATACTTAAAGGAACACTATAGTCACCTAAATTACTGTAGCTAAATAAAGCAGTTTTAGTGTATAGATCATTCCCATGCAATTTCACTGTCATTTAGGAGTTAAATCACTTTGTTTCTGTTTATGCAGCCCTAGCCACACCTCCCCTGGCTATGATTGACAGAGCCTGCATGGAAAAAAAAACTGGTTTCACTTTCAAACAGATGTAATTTACCTTAAATAATTGTATCTCAAACTCTAAATCGAACTTTAATCACATACAGGATGCTCTTGCAGGGTGTAGCAAGCTATTAACATAGCTGGGGATAGGAAACTCTAAATTAAACAGAACTTGCAATAAAGAAAGCCTAAATAGGGCTCTCTTTACAGGAAGTGTTTATGGAAGGCTGTGCAAGTCACATGCAGGGAGGTGTGACTAGGGTTCATAAACAAAGGGATTTAACTCCTAAATGGCAGAGGATTGAACAGTGAGGCTGCAGGGCCATGTTCTATACACCAAAACTGCTTCATTAAGCTAAAGTTGTTCAGGTAACTATAGTGTCCCTTTAATACACTGGAGTCCTTGAACCTTGGATGTTGACCAAACCATGTAAGCAGTACCTGTTTTTTGTTTAATTAACTTAATTGCATTCTATGAAGAGGTAAGTAGAAGTATAGATCAGGTTGCAGTGGATGGGATCTACTTGGATTTTGCAGAGACATTTAATACAGTTACACACAATAGATTAGCGTTCAAACTCAATGAAATCGGTCTAGATGAAAATGCTTGTTCTTGGGTAGAACACTGGCTTAAAAATAGAGTACAGAGAGTTCTCATTAATGGTACATTTTCAAGCTGGACAAAAGCTAGCAAGCAGCTCCGCCGGGTTCCTCTTGCATGGTCGGAGTGTTGCGCGGTTACCATGGCAATGCTCAGATCTCGCAACAGTGAATTCACCGCTACGACCACCAGGGATTCACCTCCACTATGATGACCAGGGACTAACCTCCACTACAACAACCAGGGATTAACCTCCACAACAACCACCAGGAATTCAAGGAATTCACCTCTATGTCCCCTCTCCCAGATAAAGGTAAGAAGGGAGGAGGGATATAAAGTTTAGATTTTTTATAAAATAAAAAACAAACATATTTATGTATTACTTTCATCTTCCCCCCACTGCACACCAAACACACACACACTCGCATGCACCTCTCACACAAAGCCTCACACTGCACCCTTCTCACACACACACACACTGCACTCCTCCCCCTCCACTGCACACCAAACACACACACACTGCACCCCACTCTCACATACACACACACTCTGCACTTCTCCCCACCAAACACACACACACACACACTCTGCACTCCATACACACTGCACCCTTTACACACACACACACACACACACACACTGCACTCTTCACACAAACACATACACACACTGCAGCCTTCACACACACACATACATTGCAACCTCCACACACACACTCCACTCCTCTTCCCCCCACTGCATACCAAACACACACACACACACACACACACACTAACTACACCCTTCACACACTGCATTCCTCACACACTGCACCCTTCACACAGACACACATTGCACCCTTCATACACACTACACCTTTCACACACACACTGCACCCCTCACACACACTGCCCTCCTTTCCCCCAATGCACACCAAACACACACACACACACACACACACACACACACACACACTAAATACACCTCTCACACACACAAACTGCACTCTTCACACGGACACTGCACCCCCCCCCCACACACACACACATAGACACACTGCACTGCACAGTAACATTAGCCATTGGTAATACTTATTTTCTCTTCTTTGCATACTCATATGTCATATATTTATTTATGACGATGAGTCCTCGAATGTACAGAGATCGAAATTGCAAAGACTGTTATTTTCCTCGTACGAACATTCCTATTTGAAGACATCAGTGACGTCACTGCATACCAAGGAGGCTTGATCCGCATACTGTGTCTGCGATACGAGGCTTGCACCTCATACGTTTTACCTGTCAGAGATAATTACGTAGAGGTAACGAGCACTTTCTATTGAAGATACCAGTGACGTCACGTCACACCAAGGAGGCGTGACCCGCATATTATGTCCGTGATACGAGGCTTGCACCTCATACGTCTTACCTGTTAGTGGTAATTACGTAGAGGTAACGAGCACACCTGACATTTGTTCTTTCATTAAACAAGCTATTTAAACTTGGACCGGCGAACGAGGGATACACATTCACTTCTTCTACCCAGCTGAGGAAACTACACGCTGTAGTGAAACGCGTCCTGGGATTTCTACACGGACATAGTTCCTTTTTTATTGTTTTATTATATTTTAGTGTATTTAATAAAGTATCTTACTTTTAACCCTGGTAGCCGGCATCATCTTATACTAGAGGGAGTGTAGTCCCTCACTACACATTGCACGACTGCAGAGCCATAGGGGCTCTAGGTTTGTAAGTACATTTCTTACTTACCACTTCTCTTATTTGAACATCAACTGTGCTACCCTATTGTGTTTTTTTCCAACTTTCCTAGGACCACACACAGATCTCTTCATTGGGTGGGTTGCCGTAACGGACCCGAAGCCAACCACACCAGAGCTAGGTTTACAGCTCTATGTTTGTGAGTGTTCCTAAGATTATTTTTAATATTTATATTGTTTAAAAGGTTTAACACTATGTGGGTATTTTCTTTGTACTATTTCAGAGTTTGATCTCATCTGGTCCACTATATTATATTGATTGTATCTGGATGTAGATTACTATTAGATTACTATTTATCATACTTAACTTACCATAGACATGACTAAAGCAGCAATAGTTACCATTAACCACCGCAGTTACCATCAAAGGATTGATGTGAAACTAATAAAAATGTCATTTACAAAATATGTATATAGAGAGCTTTTCAAAATAAATCCATGTTATAAATTGTAAAAAATAGCCACAAATATGGTCGAAGGTACTTTCTGTGACAAGTTGTGTCAAAAACATATATTTGAGTGCAAGACTATTACTTAAGAATGAGAAATTCAATTGGCCAAAATGAAAGGGACATTCTAAGTTACAAAATCACTATTATTATAGCTCGCTTTGGTGGTCCTGGCATCATCCCCCAGTTTAATATCAAAACATTTTGGAGCAGTTTGACATAAGTCAATGCTCTTTTAATTAACATCATACCCTAGAGGTAGGTCCTGGGTCTTCCTTTAATTGTTATACACAGTACTAAGAAAAGTTTCAGTAACTTCACAAGAGGCTGCTACCTTTAAAAGCAAACATTTATTTTAACCCAACTGGCAGAAAAGACTCACATTAGCTCCATGAACATTCTTCAGGAGGAGAAAATCCACACATTTTGTGTAAACGTACTTCTTCAAGATGATTGGGGATTTGGGGTGGAACATAAGGATATATACCCCCTTTATTTCATCAAATATCCCTACATCACACTAATTTTCCCCCCATTACTTATTTAAATGTCAGTCACGGGGGGCTGGGGAACTATTTCATTCTATATTAGGGGTCTTTTCTACCAACTGGGCAGGAATGGCTCCCAGCTGCTAGTTTTGGTAGATATGCATGGCATGCGGGAAGCTATAGTGGTTTAATACTTTTCTTATAGTAGTATGGAGCTAGTATGGCTTTCTTGCAGTAATATGGGGCTATAGGTCTTTCATTTATTTAAATGTTTTTTTTTTAAATTCTCTTTTTAATCAGGCATGTCAGCCAACCTGTAAATCAATTTGCAGCATTTGTACCGTATTTCAGTCATCTGATGGCATTTGGTCCAACTAAAATCCAAACTAAATTCCAGCCAGTTAGGGGACTGAATTACAAAATCTGTACGTTTTTGAATTGCATGAACAATATCTGGATTTTGCAGTCCAATTGATCCTTTACACAGCTGGATGGTTTTGTCACACTCGGTACAGAGCCATTTGGACATCAGTGAATTACCTTGATAGTATAAATCTCTAATCCCACTGTTCTATAGAACTGTTCTCTATCTCTATCTCTATCTCTATCTCTATCTCTATCTCTATCTCTATCTCTATCTCTACTATAGTGCCGGGTCCAGCAGTGATGCTAGTGGTGGTTGAGCTTTGTAACTCAGTAAGAGTATTGGTTTCAGCTGTTGTATTAAGTCCAGCAGTAATACTAGTTGTTGTTTGGCACTGGTTTCTGATCCTGAATTGCTTTTAGTAGTGGTAATTATGACATTTGAGCTATGTGACTCAGTAGCAGTACTGGTCTCAGCTGTAGTACCAGCTACAGATGTGGTTCCGTTGGTTGTTTGGCTCTGTGATCCAGTACTATTACTTGTTTCAGTTGTAGTAACTGATCCAGCAGTGGGATTTGTGGCAGTTAGGCTATGTGAGTCAACAATAGAACTGGTTTCAGTTCCAGTACCAAGTCCAGTAGTGGCACTGGTGGTGGTTGGGCTATGTGATTCGGTAAGAGTATTAGACTGATCTCCTGCTATAGTTCCAACACTGATAGTGGTGGCAGTTGGGCTCTTGGTTCCTATTCCACCAGTGGTATTAGTTGAGCTGTATGATACAGTAATATTGCTGGTTCCTGTACTTGAATAAAGATCTGTTACATTTCCAGGTTGAGTTAATGTGACAAGTCTCGTAGTACTAACAGATTCAGAGGTGGTTTTTACTTCTATACAGATAGTATAATCATTATTTGATGTAGTGATAGAGCTTCCTGTATTATCAGTCCCAGTGGGAGCAGTGATGAAGGGTCCTTATAAAGTAGACCCAGTCTCTCCTGGGCTTGTATTCTGTCCAAATACGGGCAAAATGCCTAGAAGAGAAGTGTGAAGATGTTTTGTTAGTGTATATTCTTCATTGCATATGAAACATAAGAGAAGTTATATTAGACTGAATAATGAAGTGTGTGAGCTTGGATTGAAACTTGTTTTTTATTCTACAATATCTGCCATTAACTGGTATTATATTAACAGCCGATAGATTGGGCACCACAAATTACCAACATGTTTCCACAACATTCACTATTTGTTAACAATAATAGCCATATCTGTATTCATTTGCTGATTCAGCACTAGACAATCAATGGTATACAGATATGGCAGCAAACCCAGCAGGACAGGTTTAAACTCACTTTAAATTCTATATAACAAGTACAAGCAAAACCTAAAGAGGAAACACTGGTTGCACCAAAAATCCAACCAGATAATGTCCACAACATTTATTGTACAATATTCTGTCTTTGAAAGTGGGTTAGGTTTCACTTCACAGATGCATACGAACTTAAAATAAAATACAGTGGTGTAGATTCCAAATCAAACGCAAATATATAAGTAGAACGTGTATAGATGCCCACTCACATTTAGCAGAGCTTCAAATCAGCTCTGGTCTTAGTAGCATGCAGTATACTCAGTCTAGTGATGGATATATGTCCTTAAATGATAGCAGTCCACTGTGACCAATAGTGCACGTAGTGATATATTTCTCAGAAAAATTTGAATAAAAAACAAAATTGCAATACAGTTTATATATTAGACTATTGTTTTTTTTCTTTACATTTATAATTCTGTATTGAGATTTTTAAACAACATACAAGTATTATTCTTGCACAATAAAATACAAGATAGTGAGTAATAACATAAAATATATTGTGTGTGTATATATAGACCTGAACATATAATCATGGCAAAAAAAGAAAAAAAGTGGGAGACAACAAAACAACTTACAGTAGGTCTGTTCAAATTGATGCAACCCACTTGTTATAGTCTCCAAAATGAGAGGGGGGGGGAAGAAAACCCCAAACATGATGTGAGTATTCAGTTTAGATCAATATTAGTAGAATGGCATTGAGAAACAAGGAAACCATATCTTATTACATTTATTTTTCAATTGAGCATCCTTGTTAGAAGAAAAATATCTCTGTTAGAGTTGAGCGAACCCGGACTATAAAGTTCGGTTCGTACCGAACATTAGGTTGATGGACCCCGAACCCGAACACGGACATATCACTGTATGTTCGGGTTGGAGTTCGGTGTTCGGGGATTTAATGTTGCATTTTGAAAGGCTGCAGGGCAGCTAATCAACAAGCGTTTGACTCATGTGCCCTTAGAAGCCATCACAGCCATGCCTACTAATGGCATGTCTGTGATTGGCCAGTGCAGCATGTGACCCAGCCTATATATGTAAGCTGGAGTCGCGCAGCACCGCACGCACATGCGGTCTTATTAGTGTAGGGAGAGGATGCTGCCATTGATAGGGACAGCTTAGGAAATAATTCTGTACATTGGTGGGGTGGGGTGCACTTCATATCTGAGAGTCAAATAGAAGCTTCAAATACCGCGGTTACATCAGAGGTTTAAAAAGTCAATTTATTTTGGTGCTAAATTGTACATTAGTGGGATAGTACATTAGTGGGGTGCACTTCATATCTGAGAGTCAAATAGAATCGTCAAATACTGCTGTCACATTGCAATTTTAAAACGTAAAATTGTTTGGGTGCTAAACTGCTAAATAGTATTTTAGTGGGGTGCACTTCATATCTGAGAGTCAAATAGAAGCGTCTAATAGTGTGCTTACAGCGCAGTTGTAAAAATTCTAATTTTCTGGGTGCTAATCTGCTAAATAGTACATTTTGGGGCCTGCGGTGCACTTCATATCTGAGAGTCAAATCAAAGCGTCTAATAGTGTGCTTACAGCACAGTTGTAAAAATTCTAATTTTCTGGGTGCTAATCTGCTAAATAGTACATTTTGGGGCCTGCAGTGCATTTCATATCTGAGAGTCAAATTGAAGCGTCTAATAGTGTGCTTACAGTGCAGTGGTAAACATTCTTATTTTCTGGGTGTTAATCTGCTAAATAGTACATTTTGTGGCGTGCTCTTCATATCTGAGAGTCAAATAGAAGCGTCAAATACTGTGGTTACAGCACAGTTGTAAAAATTCTAATTGTTTTGCTGCTAATCTGCTGCTTACATTGGAGTTTTAAAAAGTAATTAATTTTTTTTTGGTGCTAAATAGTATATTTGGGGTGTTTACTTCATATCTGAGAGTCAAATCGAAGCATAACTTTGATTCGAATTTACTACATCGGCCACTTGTAATATTGTTTCACACCTACAACACTTGTTACACAGATCTAAGTGATAGAAAACAGATTGATATTTTCTACACTAGAAACTACCAGATAACAAGCTGCTATATTTAAACCAGTTATCAATAGCTAAGAGGTACTTCAACAATATTGTAATTCTGGGGCAATACCCTCACAAGTCAAACTGAGAGGTCAGTTTATAGGGAAAACTGTTGCCTGGATACAATTCTAAAACAATTTCCATATGTCCTTTGCAGACTTTACATGCTGGAAAAACACAGGTGCCAACTGCTGTGGCTTTCTGCAGTGTGCATACCGGCAAGGAGGGCAGGATTGACGAGTGGGTGGAAGATGACGTGGAGGAGGATGAGGTCCTAGACCCCACATGGAATCAAGGTCATGCGAGTGACGTGTGTAGTTTGGAGGAAGAGGCACTGGTTGCACAGAGGCACCAGCACATAAGAGGGAGCAGGGTGCAAAAGCGGAGCGGCCTTCCCCTAGCGCTCGTCGGCATGAATTACCAGTTATCCAAGTAATACATGTAGCGATCAAAGGATCCATAATAGAGTTGAGCGAACTGTACCAGATAAAACGATTCATTCATAGTTTCACAGTCAGGTGGGCAGTCCAGTGACCAGGACCCAGACACTGTCTGGGAGGCGGTTGGACGACTGGGACCCAGTATGCCTGATGTTGAAGTTAGAAGTCACAGTGTTGAGCACCAGCATTTGTGTGGCCACATACTAGGACCCTGATGCAGCTTCAGTAAAAAGAGTACTGGATACCAGAAGCCATCATCAGACTGATCCGCAAGAGGATGTGACATTCACTGTAGCGGCTGTGCGCACTTTTGGCGTTCTCACCCTGCTGTTGGTTGCGTGTCTGAGCTGCATCGTAACTTTGGCCTTCCCGCTCACCGCCTCATGAGACTGTGCGAGCAGCAGCAGGCGACAGTGGAGTTTCAGCTGCCGCACGCACGGGTCAGTGACTCTGCACCAGACTTCCCTCCAATTGATCAGAGTTAAAGGATTTCAAGTGGACTCATTACAATTACAAGGCCTCTAAAGAGTCCTGTATTGTTATTTGTCATCACTACCTTCCCGTGTTGGAAGTGGGTCATTTGCTGCCTTCCTTGCATGTGGTAGCCGTTTCTAAGGATCCCTTTGCGGAATGGAACTCTGATTCCCCGTTACCCATGGTCACCATGGTAGGCGCAGAAACTGGCATCGAAAGTTGATATGGATGACATCCGCATGCAAAGTCGCCGCCACGGGGATGTGCAATTGGCCCAAGGTTCTCTAGAGTCAACAAAGTGCCTGCACAACTATAATGTTAACAGCTACTCTGTGGAACAGAGTTATCTTTTCTATATGTCCCAATATTTTGGGGGCTACCCCAATTAAAAAAATTATATATATATATATACACAGTGTTGGCTACTTCATCCTCCTCCTCCACCGCCACAATCACCACCTCCTCAACCTATGGGTCACTTAGTATAAACTATGTACACATTAGCAGAGTCTTGTGAAGGCCTTTTCTCCATGCATCAGGAGTTGAGCATTTCTCCATGCATCAGGACTTCAAGAAATGCACTGCAGGCCGCAAATTATTCTTTTTTTGTATGTCCCAATATTTTGGGGGTTACCACAATTAAAAAAAAACAAAAAACAGTGTTGGCTACCTCATCCTCCTCCTCCACTGCCACGGTCACCGCCTCCTCAACCTATGGGTCACTTAGTATAAACTATGTACACATTAGCAGAGGCTCGTGAAGGCCTTTTTTCTATGCATCAGGAGTTGAGCATTTCTCCATGCATCAGGACTGCAAGAAATGCACCGCAGGCCGCAAATGTTTCTTTTTTTGTATGTCCCAATATTTTGTGGGCTACCACAATAAAAAAAAAAAAAAACATTAAAAACAGTGTTGGCTACCTCATCCTCCTCCTCCATCGCTGCTTCCACCTACACCGCAATGGTCACCGCCTCCTCAACCTATGGGTCACTTAGTATAAACTATGTACACATTAGCAGAGACTTGTGAAGGCCTTTTCTCCATGCATCAGGAGTTGAGCATTTCCCCATGCATCAGGACTGGAAGAAATGCACCGCAGGCCGCAAATGTTTCTTTTTTTGTATGTCCCAATATTTTGGGGGCTACCCCAATTAAAAAAAAAAAAATGATATATATATATATATATATATATATACAGTGTTGGCTACTTCCTCCTCCTCCTCCACCGCCGCTTCCACCTACACAGCCACGGTCACCGCCACCTCCTCAACCTATGGGTCACGTAGTATAAACTATGTACACAATAGCACAGGCTTGTGAAGGCCTTTTCTGCATGCATCAGGAGTTGAGCTCAGTTTGAATAATGAAAGAGAATACCCTGCACTCCAACCCTCCCTCAAATGGATAATTCTGGTGATCCTCCTGACAGCCATGCTTTAGATTTTGATTTATGTTCTTCCAAAGCTAAAATCAAAGATTCCATCTAGTGCTGTTTTATGGCTCAGCTGTATTTTAAATTTTTATGTTATTTTAAGTGATTTCCCTAGCCACACATTTTAGAGGCATTTTTGTGCCCAAATGTTCGAGTTCCCCTTGACTTTAATGGGGTTTGGGTTAGGGGTCAAGTTCGAGCCCGAACCTGGACTTTGTTTCAAAGTTCGGCCAAACCCGCATGACCCGAACATCCAGGTGTCCGCTCAACTCTAATCTCTGCTGATATAAAATTTGGGGCTTTCTTGTTTCTTCCAGTATCTAGCTATATGAAACATCAACTGCCTAGAATTAATTGCAGCATCCTTTGTGATCCGCAGTTTCACAAAGGACTTCCTTAATTGTTAACTGGTATTACGCATGGACAATGTCTCTGCAGTGCGTTATGGAAATCAGTTGGAAGGATTCCGATCCAAATTGCTATCCAACCTTACGAAGGACCTCTACCAATTCTGTCTAGAGAGAAATCTATCCATCCGAGCAGAATATCTTCTGGGCACGGACAATCTAGTCGCAGATTGGTTCTCCCGCCATTGGAGGAACGTCAGCGACTGGCAATACCCTTTTGTTTCATCAAATTCATTGTCTTTGCGGACCTTTTTGCGCCTCATTTGAACCGCCAGACGGATGCAATTTTTAGCTTGCTTTCAGATCCCCAATCCTGGGCAGTCAATGCATTTCTACACCCTTGGCCAGAGATAGGAGCTTATGCGTTTTCGCCATTTTCCATGATCCAACGCACCCTTTATAGGGGTAAAAGCTCTAGTAGTAACGATAGTCCTTGTAACCCCTTTGTGAAGGGCCCTGATTTGGTTCCCAACTCTGCTAGAACTATCAGTGAATTACCCAGTCCTATTGCCTCAATTCCCCAACATCCTCAGGAACCCAGCAGGGGACAGTCACCCTTTCGCTCTTCAGGAACGGCTCCAGCTTGGACTGTTTCAGGGGATCTTGGAATGTCTCTGGACTTTCAAAAACAGCTCAGGCTCTCCTATGGGACTCCTGGGCCCCATAGGAGAGCCTGAACCATGGCAGACATGGTTCAGCTGGTGTTTGGAAAAGGATAGCAATCCTTTCTCAGCACCTCTCACAGCCATTCTAAGTTTTCCATCTACCCTTTTTGATCAAGGCAAATCTTATAGGTCAAATAATGTGTTTAGATCTGCTATTTCTGCAGCTCACAACTCTATTGACTTTTGACATTTGACATTGGCATACCTAAGACCCAACTGACACCACCGTATGAACATTACTCTTACAGAAACCTCCAATGTCTTGACCTAGAGCATTTCTCCACTAATCTCCAAACTCTCCTTTTACTTATCTCAAACCTCACCTGTCCTAGTTCTGCAACCTCCTTCTACAATTCAACCCTCTCCTCTCAACTAGACATCATGGCACCTTGTACATTTAAACACCGCAGGCCCCCCCCAACAACAACCCTACCACACCAAGCTCACTCGATACCTCCAAAAATGCTCCAGAACTGCTAAACGCTGTTGGAGAAAGTCTCACTGCGCAGGCTCGCTGCCTAGGTGTTCTCTTTGACTCTGACCTCTCCTTCAAGCCTCATGTTCAATCTATCGCCAAATCCTGTCATTTCCATCTCAAAAACATTGCGCTCATCCGCCCCTACTTAACGCCAGATGCGACTAAGGTGTTGGTCCATTCCACTGTCCTTTCTCGCCTTGACTACTGTAATCCACTTCTCAGTGGTCTTACGTGCTCCCAACTTGCGCCGTTACAGTCCATAATGAATGCGGCGGCGAGGCTCATCTTCTGGTCCGCCCGCACCTCCCATGCCTCACCATTCTGTCAGTCCCTACATTGGCTTCCTATAAACTATAGAGCTCAATTTAAAATTCTGGTTCTTGCTTTCAAATCTCTACATAATGCTGCTCCCACCTATCTATCCTCACTTATACACAAGTATGTCCCGTCTAAGCCCTTACGATCTGCTGAAGACTTACGTCTATCTTCTGTCCGTACTCTCACCTCTGATGCTCGCTGTAACGGACCGTTTTGCACAAAAAGGGAAAAAACCGTTTAGGCGATAATCCCCTTTCAGAGACAGGCACAGCTACTGTATAATCACCAAAACTCACGAACCGCCAATAAGTGAATGCTCCAAACTCCCGAACGGCATACAAGGGAATAAGGTAGCACTTCAAATAAACGAACAGGAACCATACGAATAGCTGCTAGCAGACGAACAGGAAAAGCTTCCCAGCGGCTTACACTCCTGGCAATCAGTCCTTAGTAGCATACAGTAAATCCCCCCCAAAGACGAGACAAGGCTCCGTGTTGAGGGTCAAGCAGTGGTCTGTTTAATGAGGGCTACCTGCCCGGCTTTTATGCAGGTCTCCCACCTGGTGGACACTCCCCTAGGGGACCAAATGGGAGACTGTGACAAGGGACAGACAAGTATACAAATAGGACACACAGTCACAGTATATTCCCACAATGCATCCTGGCTTCCTCCCCTCTGCCCTGGGAGATAATTGGGAAGTAATTCAATTATCTCCCAAGACAAAGGCAAAACTCCATTACACACGTGGGAACACAAAACCAGCATAACACTTTAAAATGCACAAAGTAACATTTACTACATAAACCACAGACATGTAACATATCCCCAGATAGCTCAGGTCTGAGTGCACATTATTAGGTGAATGGCACTCAGACTACACGAATACAGTTCAATCGCCATGGAGCCAAAGTCTTTACAGTCAGTTTCATACGAATGGGCTCCATGGGATTCCTATCTGGGGTATAAGATATTCACACAAAAATACCGAACACCGGGTCATTCGTGTGCTTTCACCGAACAAGAAGGGAGGTCGGCGGCTTCAGCGGTGTTCGCGCAAAACTGTGTCCGATTTTAGTTCCATGAAAATAGAGGCGAACACCGCTGTTCATTCGTATGGTTTAAAATGGCCGCGACCTCGTGTTCGGGATACGAACGGCGGCCACCCAGCGTTCATCAATTAAGCTGCGGTTAACCGCAGCTTCAGGGAGGTTAATTGCCGGCACACTCCAGCTCCCAGGTGGTCCAGTCATTCGTACGGTTGTTCGGTAGATTGAAACTACCGAACAACTGGCAGAAAAGCATGAATACGGCTTTTCTGCATGGAAAAATAAAGTCTTTTAAAAGGGGGCCATAGTCCAAAGGCAGCAGGCGAGCAACCAGGCTTCTCCAATGCAATGTGGCGAGATTGGTCTCGTCACACTCGCCTTCAAGATTTCTCGAGGGCTGCACCATTCCCGTGGAACTCACTTCCTTCCTCCGATAGATGCTCACTCAGTCTCCACTCCTTCAAAAAATCGTTAAAAACCCACTTCTTCATAAAAGCATATCAATTAAACTGTTAATAGCTCCTGACTGATTCCTCTTCTGCAACTGTCACTAGTCTAATACTATCCTTACCCTTTTGTGTCATTTTACCCCACTCCCTCTAGCATGTAAGCTCATTGAGCAGGGCCCTCAACCCCTCTGTTCCTGTGTGTCCAACTTGTCTTGTTACAACTACATGTCTGTTCGTCCACCCATTGTAAAGCGCTGCGGAATTTGACTGCACTCTATATATATCATAATAATAATAATATTGACAATTCATTGATAGGGAAACATCCTTCTGTTTGTAGACTTTTATGGGGGAAGTCACCCAGATTTTTCCTTTTTAAAATCTTGGCCTTCCAACGAGACTTTGATGTTATGCCAACTTTCTGCCAAGCTGGCATTACTTCTATGTTTAGTATCCTTCCGTAGGGTTTCAGATATTCGAGCGTTTGACTACCATGCTGTAGTTTTCACACCTGAGGGAGTTAAATTTAATATCACCAGACGTACGAAGACTAATTCCTCCTTAGTCTTCTACACTTATTTTCTGAACAGACCGTCCCTCTGCGTGGTCCTTGTTCAAGCGGGGAGCACACCAAGTCAGATAAGCAGCCGCATCCTCGGCCTTTCGTGCAGGCA